CGTGCGGTGAGATTCGAACGCTGGTCGTTCGGGAAGAAATTCCAACGACCGACCAAATTTCTGAAGATGTAAATGCATTAATCTCCTTAATTGTTTTTATTTAAACTATATTGCGACTGAAAATCAATAATTTTTAATTACACAAAAAATATAACTAATTAATTTAAAATTAAAAAAATATTTAATATAAAATAAAAATTAACTAACTAATTAATTTTAAAATAAAAATTTAATTAAATAATTAATATAATTTTTAATAATTTTTTGTTAAATCATTAAAAATACTTTAAAATTTATTCATTTTTATTAAATTTTTTAAAGCCGCCGGAAAATTGAAAAAGCCGCCGGAAATTTCTGTGGGGATAAACCGCCGGTAAATCACCGGAAAGCCACCGGAAATGTGACCGCCGGCAAGCCGCCGGAAAATTCCACCGGAAATCAGTGATTTTCCTGTAGTGTTCCATCATACATCTCCAGATAACGGTCTTTCCATCATCCCTCAACAACTAAATGGTCATTCTGACCTCCGTCGCCAGACAACAGTCTTTCTGACTACTATTGCCAATCGTTTGCAGTCTTTTCAACCTCTGTCACCGACTATGATCCTTCCGACATTTTTTCTCCAGACTACGGTCTTTCTAACCTCCATCGCCCGCCGATTACGATCCTTCTGACCTCTATCGATAGACAACGGTCCTTACGATCTCTATCATCAGACTACTATCTTTTTGACATCTGTCACCTGCTGACTACTATCTTTTAAACCTCCGTCGCCAACTGAATACAGTTTTTCTGACCTCTGTCACCTAACAATGGTCTTTTCGATCTCTGTCGCGCTCCGACTACTATTTTTCCTACCTCCGTTTCCCGTCGACTATGGTCCTGCCGACCAAACAAATATGTCAATACTTATTGTTCAAATTCTTACCATATAGTGCACTTTATTTGATGTATATTTGCTACATCAAGTCAATACTCATTCATATTGGATCATGTCCTGTGTTTTCTCCCCCTTTTTAGGGTTTTCACGTAAAAATTCTAGTGTTTGTTATGAACATTACACTATCTCTTTATATCTGATTGTGTGCTGAATCTTCGTACAAAGCTAAGTTGCTAAACTTTGTATTTCTCTATCACCACGAATATTCCAGGATGTAATACACACACACACATGTTAGGGGATTCGAGCATGGATCAACAAGGAGAAAGTTATTCCATAAACCAACGAGCTGCAACTCGATCCGTAGTATTGAAAAACATAACTAGAAATGTCATGAAAAATTATTGGATGTGCAATGTATACATGTTGATGTAATCCATCAATGAGATGGAGTCTATAGTTATATACTATTATATATTATTTGGTTGTTCCGATCCCATCTATACATATGTAGCTATCCATATCTAATATTTTCTCTATCATCATTAATCATTCTAAGCATTTCCAAACTACCCATAGAAGAATTATTAAATTTTATGTTCTTTAGTTTCTTAGTTTCATATTTATCAATTATTTAGGTTAATTTGTAATTGAATTGGGTCAAATCAAGTAGTATGCTATCTAAATCAACAAGCTTTGATTTTGTTTATATATATTTAATAATCCAAGTAAATGTTATTAATTGAAAACACTCGTTCACTTATAGCCCTACTTTGAACCATCAATTCACTCCAAAAATTTCCATATATCTCCACAGTCATCAAATAATAATACATTTTATTCATGAAAACCACCTATTAATATGTGATTAAAGAGAAAATATTATATAAAATCATATATTTGGATTCATTAAACAGTCTTTTTGATGATTGAAATGTCTAACCTCCCTATCATAATAACTATATATGGCTTATTATAATATACTTTTATAATTTGAACATGAGCCTTATATCAAGAAAGACTAATGTATTACAACTTATCAGTATCTATTAATGCTCCCGCCTTTAATTAAGTTTCGTTTGAGATGATTTTTTTTTACTATTTTTAAAATAACTTTTTAGTGTAAAAAAATAAAAAAGTAGCATCCAAAAGCTATCTCAAATGAAGTCTTCGACTTCGTCGGCTTCGTTTGGGAACTTCGTTTAAGATAACTTTAATCTTATTAATTTTTAAAGTAGTTTTTTAGCATCAAAATTTTTCTAAGAAATTATTTTAAGAAATAGTAAGAAAGTCGTCCCAAACAGAATCTTAGTGAACTGCTTCATTGCAGTATATAAGTTTGATCTCAAAATTTTCTATATTAAGAGTATTACTTCTCTTAAATTAATCTTATGTACGTAGCTTCTTAATTTCAAATTTAAACAGCAGTGGACAGTAACCTAACGGTCCTCTTCTACCTAATATCTTTTAACTCTTTGCATCTTTGGTACCTTCTTTTAGGGAAAATTTTTGTTTAAGTCGTTAGGTGCAACAGTTCTTCAAAGATGTTTATTCATTTAAATATTTTTTTTTTTAATGATGAAAACAATTTCTTTGAATAACTTCTTAACGGATGCAGATCTGAAGGGAGGAGTACTTTTCTTTGTATCCAGCAGCTGCCTGAAATAGTGAAATTGATGGGCTACATAAGTTCTTCATTGATTGACTTCACTTGTTTGATTTGGTTGTATGAAAAAAAAAATTATAAGAATAATTTAATAGTCATTAAATTTATTTTAAAATTAGTGAAATATCAAATTAAATAATTTAAATTTAGGTTTCATTTTGGACAGCTTTCTAAAATAATTTTTTAATATAAAAATTTTTAATTTAAAAAAATTTTGTATTAAAAAGCTGCTTTAAAGAAGAACAAAAAACTGTCTCAAAGGAAGCCTTAGCTTTTTAATAATCTCAAAATAGATTTAGGCTTCATGTGGACAATTTTATTACTACTTCCTAAAGCAATTTTTAGTACAAAATTTTTTGTAATAAAAAACTACTGTCAAAAGCATTAAAAAAGTTGTCCTATACAAAGACTTAAGCTTCGTTTGGGACGGCTTTCTTACTACTTCGTAAAGCGGCTTTTTAGTACAAATTTTTAATTTTTTGTACTAAAAAGTCACTTTAAGAAGCAGAAAGAAAGCCGTCCCAAACGAGGCTTTAGACTTCGTTTGGGACAATTTCTTTGCTGGTTTCTAAAATGACTTTCTAGTACAAAAAATTCTTAAAAATCAGTCAAACAACAAAAAAGCTGTCACAAATGAAGCCTTAATGGATATAAAATTTATCATGATCCAAAAAATTTCCTAAAATTTAATGTAGAATATAATAATTTTATTCTCTTAAGAATGAAGTATTTTTTTCCGTAAAACTTGAATGCTTCCTTGAACAATTATAACTTATTGGTCAATCTTTTGAAGTTTCCTGCATAAGTAGTTGTGTCACAGTTCATTATTTATCATACAGTAACATGTTGGTGAACCACTCAACACTATTCATTGAACTAAAACTATTGCACGGAAACGAAAAATAAGTCTGAAATTTTTAATATAAATAAATGGCAAAATTATAAGATAAAATAATAATAAATAATTTTTAATAAATAATATAAGACGATATAATTTCTTCTTAGGAAAAAATATAATAATTTTAATCTTTAATATTTATTTATTTTTTGTTTGACGTTATATTTTTTTCATAAATTTATATTTTATATCATCAAGTCATCAACTGATAGTGGACATAAATAACACGTGAAACATGCATTGGACGTAAGAGAGTATTTTAGATATATTTTTATTTCTTAAAGTATACGTAATTTGCGTTGGACCGATAATATAATTAATATATAGTTTAGCCTACGAGTCGTGATAACAAAGTAACACCATTGGCATTGAAGCCATTATAAACATTTGAGAATTTTTATAGATGAGATTATTATTATTATTATTATTTTTAGCAAGACAAATTTATATTGAACCCAAAAAGAAGTACAAGAAGCAATGTAGCTAAAGACAAAATAAAAGAAAATATAAAAAGAACTAATCTGAATGGCTCAGTAATTGGCCGAGGCTCCCAGCTTCCCCGAAGTCAAGCACAGACCCTCCAATTTGGTGAAGATAGACACGAAGAAATCAAACCAACCGATCAAGCAGAAACAACCGAGCAAGAGACCAACACCAAAGGTTGCCATGAGCCAAGACGACGAGGAAATGAGCCCCATCCACATCATCGCCAGCACATTCACGGCCAACAAAAAATTCGATGCACCACCCAAAAAATCCAACTAGAGAGAGAAGAAAGCAACAAACACTGGAAACTACCTGCCCCATCTGCACCTCCCACGAGAACTGACTAAGGCAATCGGGCGATCTCAAACCAATTTAAAATCATGTCCATGATCAGAACCTCCACAATACTCCGAAGAGGAATCTGATTCAAATTCAGACGAACACTGAAGCTAATCAAGATGAATCCTCACATCCACCCCAGAATTATCGCCCACATGGTACATCAAAGCTTGTGGTTTGTTATATATGAGATTAATGTTTGGTTTTTGATGACTTTTTTTAATTATTTTTAAATTAGTTTTTTATATAAAAAATAAGATTTTTTTTATTAGAAAATTGGTTTAAGAAGTAGTTATAAAATTGTCCCAAACGAAATTTAAATTTACATTATTGCATCAAATGTCAAGAGAGAAGAGAACGGTTGTTGGAAGCTAGTGCGGGAGTTTTAACATATAAATTTAATAGTTTAGGGTTTATTAAAAGAAGACATACTTGAAAATTTAAATAAGAAATTACTTAAAAGATAAATCCTTTATCTCAATATATAAATTCTAATGAAATGAATATTATAAGAAAAAATAGATTGTGATGGCATTCATGTTTGACAACTCTGATGATTTCTTTGTATGACTATTATAATGTTCTTTCTACTTTAATGTTGATGATCGATAAGTTATTCTTATAAATAATAACTTAAATGGCCTATACTTTATTTCTTTTCATGCAAGCTCGAAAGTGTGGGCTAATATTAGAAGAATTAAAGAATTTTGAATCATTTTATGAGATGTAATTAGGGGTGTCAATATTTGACACGACACGAAAACCCGACCCGGACCCGACCCAAAAAATCCGGGTTGAACCCGACCCGTTTGAAAAACGGGTCAGGTTCGGGTTCACAGATTCAACCCGTTTGACAAAACGGGTCGGGTTCGGGTTGACCCGACGGGTTGCCGGGTCAACCCGCCAACCCGTTTAATTTAAAAAAATTTCGAAATCCCGCCCGCCCCGCTGCCCAGCCCCGCTGCCCGCCCCGCTGCCCGCCCCGAATAATGGATAAATAAGTGGTTGAGGAATTTATCTTTATATATATATATATATATATATTATCTTTATATATATAGATTAAGACAATATTAAATTTTTTTTCTCTAAATAATTAATTGTACTTTAAAAATTAAATATTTATATTATTATAAAATTTTACCTAAATATTATTGTTAATGCAATCTTATAAAACTCTTATGTAAAAATATCATGATATAAATATATCATAATAAAATTTTAAAATTTTAAATTTAATACTATATATAATATTATAAATCATATTAGATATTAGACCCTATTTGGGACAACCACAACTTCTTATAAAATTAATTGTGAAATTATTATGAAAAAAATAACTTAAATATTCTGATTGTAAAAAACAATTTTCAACTATAAAAATTTTTGAATAGCAATGAAAAAATTATAGCAAAAAAAAATGATTATTATCTAGAATATGAAGCAAAGAAAAAGATATCTCAAACAGACATTTAATCTTAATATAAATTAAAAAATTTTAATATCCATTCTATATATTTTATATTAGATTATTCTGATACAATTTTTAAAAGACAATTGCAAACCATCAAAGTAAATTTTTGAATAATAATAGAAAAAAGGGAAAGATTTTTAGATGAAGGTAACATAAAAAGTTTATTATACAATTAATCAGTATTGTTCAATATTTTTCATTACATTAATATTCATGCATAATAATACCTAGCAAAATGCTACTCAAATACAAAATAAAAAATTTCTCATGGCAGAGAATTTGAAGGGAAAGATAAATAAATACATCGTAATTTGTACAATTTTTTTTCTTTTTCCTATATGTTTAGATTATGAACAATCTCTTTATTTATAATTATTTAATTTGCTTATGAACTCTCTCTCCTTTTCTATAAATGAGAATAAAAAAATAAAAAAAAAGAATTTAAAAGAGAGAGAGAGAGAGAGAGAGAGAGAGAGAGAGAGAGGATCCAAAACCACAGAGAAAAGTGCATTTTTTCTTCAGCAGAATTCAGTAAGTAGGAGATTTCCTTCAAGAACTTGAATTACAAAAACAAAATTATAAACTGTTTGTAATGAAATAATAGTGATTATTGCATGCTGGTGTCCAACAATAGAGAAGTTACAAAAAATGGCCACCTGATGTTCTAATAAATGCACAAGAGCTAAACAGCCTCCTCTGCCCAGCCACCCCTATGCTCTAACAGAAAAATAGATAAAAAATAAAGCCTCCAATAAACAGGAATAATATATGAAAAAAATTAGCTCAGGGTATTCTAATCAAAATTTATTCACAATGAGTTTCAAAATATTTATATTTTTTTTGAGATGACCGATGGAGAAATTATTAGGTGCTGAGTCCGGACGTACAGATACGTCCGGATTCCAATAAAATGTTGACACGTGGAGTGTACTCGTGGATATTCAATTGGATTTATTTTTTACTTTATATATTTAATGTGTCAGCGGAACTTTAAGCCAAGCACAGGTAAAGCGCAGTCAAAAAGCAATAAAAAACGCAATAAAAGAGCTGTCAAAGCACAACTAAAGTGCAACTAAAGCGCAGATAAAACACAAAAAAAAGTACAACCAAAGTGCACCCCACGTGTCAAATTTAAGTGGATGTCCGGACGTACCTCTACGTACGGACTCAGCACCTAATAATTTCCCTTACTGGTGAGGGTAATACATCGATCAATCAATTTTAGTATTGCACTCATCTTAAAATAAATCTAAATATTTGAAAACTCACCTTAACTAGATTCTGACCAAGATATCCTCCCATATATTTTTTTCCCAAATATACACAAGAGCCACTCATTAGATTCTCATTCCGTTCACATAAATCCTTTAGGCTAATAAACCATCTTCCAAAGAGTTTCTCACCTTTAAAGCTTGAACAAAAGACCAGAATTCCACAGAACATTCTCTCCTTCACCACAGCGGTGATGAACTTCTTTCATTCTCTCAACTGATCTGCAAATGCCACTGCAGCTCCAGTCAAATGAGGCAACACAAATGTTACCCGCCTGGGCCTTCCACTCACAGTCTAAAGGATAGCAATCAATCTATTAGCTTTAGCCACCATACATCAGAAGCTGAAGTATACAGTTTTTGTATGAGAACTTAATCCAAAGTATTCAACGTACCTGGTGGGGTTCCACAACATAGCTTGCGATCATCAATATGTTTCACATTCAATCCAATGAACCAAGCTCCCAATGAGACATCCTCATTTGCATACTTGTGCAGTACATGCCTGTGATAATAAGATCCACAATAGTATTTCGTTAACATATAAAACATGAATGACCACATGGACGGATCCAACTTAAGGCCACCCTGAAAAAATAAAAAAATTCTTTATTATATGATTCTTTAGGTAATTTGTCCCCCTCCATATATTTTTTTAATCTTTATTATAAGGGTTTTTATGCAATTGCCCCCTTAAAAGCTTTAAAATAATATGGTCTTTAAGCAATTGCTCCAACATAATTAAACACATTGTGTAGAGATGTTATTGCTAGCGAACGATGAACTAAATATAAAGAGAAATAGTAAAGAGAATGCAGGTCGAATCCCGCTAGGGGGCGCTGCCTTTTTAAACCCCCGACATATCTGCGAAGCATACAACAATGAACAAATAGGGGTCGACGGGCAGCGCCCTCAGAACAAATATTGGTTGTAAGGATATTTATGGAAAAAAAAAAAAACTCTACAATTTAACTTATAAGTTTGCCCCCTTGAAAATTAAGGCCGGATCCACCCCTGCATGAACAACACACATGAACTGAAATATTGTTGATTTGCAGGGAGCTTTTTCAAGTTGCATGTACTGATTGCTTACTGATTAATCGATATGTAAGTAGCCAGGTCTCTTGAAATTGCATATAGTTGGCCAGTAGCATGACGAAAATACTTATTTCCATAGGTTCCGAACTTCCAATACTCAGGTTCATGATATCTAACGCCCCTGCTTCATAACCAATCGTGAATCTTAACTGAAGAAAAATGCAACTGTGAGAGCCAAGATATCAATTTGATGCTCACTTCTGGACTATAACAGGACCGGACTTCATGCATCCAATGTATACCCCAGGCTTTGACCTGTGTCTGGCAAGGGTAGTTCCAAGGGTTGCTGCAATAACAAGTTGTGATTCATTGTATTGATGGGTGAAGAAGATTGCAATAAAAATAATAATAATAATAATAATAATAAAAAGGTAAAGAAGATTGCAAGTTCTCGTATGTGGAGATTATCAAAAAGCGATGAATTTTTATGCGCCGAGTATATCATAGTATATATCATCGTCAATTTTAGTTGATCCCAACTATTTGTAGTCTTAGGTGAGGTGTTAAATTTAAAATGTGCAAGTCTTTTTGCACCACATCAAGCCAGAATAGCATTATCATTATAGCCATCAGATATGCATATCCAACCAATTTAAGTAGGGGTGTCAAAATCTGACCCGATATGGACCCGACCTGAAAAAAATTCAGGTTCGAGTTTTCGACCCGAACGGTTTGGGGTTCGAGTTTTCAACCCCATCCTTTCAAGACTTCATCATCCTTTCAAAATATGACCCAACCCGAAACCCGAACCACATACCCATTTTGACACCCCTAAATTTAAGCCTATTTATTACCTTATTTTTGTAGATGTCCTCACAACTTGAACTATCATTATGGATTAAAAATGAGATGCACATAAACGAAGAAGACTTTGTTGTGTTTAGTTAGTTAATTTTTTGCAATGCTTGTGTTTAGTTTATGTTCATTAATGTTTGATATTTCCTTATTTGTGTTTTGCAAGAACAAAACATATATATGAAAGAGGGGATTTTCATTATTTCAAATAAAAAAGATAGGAAAGAATGAAATTCAAGATCTCACCATACAAAGAAAACACTATTTTAACACCATATACAACTACTACGTACATCATGATTTAATTTTAGCAAAATTGTAACCTTAAAATGTATACAAATTTAATATTTAATAAGATATCTTAACGAGATTTTAACAAGATAAATAAAAAGGAATAAAGCTTTCTAAATATTGTGTTCATGTTAGACAACTTAGGCAGAGTCAAAATTTGTGACTGTATGGCATAGCACATTGTCCTATATAATAGTTAGTTCTCATCTTCTAGTTATTATATTGATCTGATATTATTTGTCACACCTTAAACTCTCATCCTTTGAGATATTATTCACATTGGCCCAACAAGCCTAGCAATTTCATTCTATTGGTGGAATTTTCTAAAAAGACATCCATCCCATGAGTGCTCTAGCGAAAGCTCACTTTACTTTAGTGTTCCTACATAAATTTCAATCATCATACTAAAAAATACCTTATTATTAAGTGTTTCTCTTCATTGTACTTAAGATATATTATAAAGTTAAAATTCCCATTCTAAAGCACTCATTGAGAAATAGCACCAAGAGGTAAAAGCGGTGAGGCCTATTAAGTTAAAGTTAAAAAATATCTCAATGAATAAATGTTTAATTTCTGATAATGTGAATCCTACCAACTCTCTACTTCATACATTCTAATTATACTACACATCCATCAAAGCATTTTCATGTCTACCACACATAATTTGATTGCTAGTAATATTACTGCCAACTTAAACCCATGCAGTACTATTGTGTAGTTTCTAAAATCTATGTTTAAATATCCAAGATATTATCCCCACACAATTGGAATAAGTATAATGATGATGACAATCTCAAATGATATTCTCTTAACAAAGTATTTCTGTGGCATTTATCCAGTTTAGCTATTCAAATTTAACTTTTAAAAGTATGACGATTTTGTGTAATAGAATTTTAATTTTGTGCCCATCAAAATTTTTTATCTCAAAATAGCAAAAACCAAGTTAGTTGATCATAACCATCTTCTATAATTACCACCAAAAAATGCAAAAAAGATACAGATGTCATGTTATTCATTGAATGAACGCTGTTGTGACATCTAGAAACATGTTTATCATTCAAACAACTTATAATAATAGGTATGGCTTATTGTACATAATACATGTCCAAAATAACCTCAACATATCTCTCATGCTTATATTCTCTTTTGGTGTAAGTTCAATTGATTCTCATGCTACTAGAATATATGCACTCATAATTTAAAAAAAGAGCTATATGAAGATCAATTTATTTCTCTTTATACTTATCTACTAATTAATTTAATTAAAAAAAATCTTCATAAGAGATATTGGTATTAATCTTCTGCTAAACTAACATGATTTATCTTATCCACTGATTCTATTATTTTCTCTCAAGATTTTCTTATAGGACTCCATAAATTTTGATTCCAAAATAGTTACCACTATCTTAAATAGCTCGAAGTTCTTAAAGAGTATAATTAAAATGTTTCTTATCTAATCATTTAGTATCCTCTTAGTATTTAGGATTTTATTTAAAAGCTTGGTCAATCATCCTATTAATTTTTCTTAATTCTCTAAATCTCAATGAGGATCTCAAATGCACCTAAAGCTTTGCCTTTTTGCATATTCATCAAGCAAACTCAGCTCATTATTTTGATCAATCTATAGATGACGTTGGCAAAGAAGAAGGGCCCAAAATCATGATTTTTTTTTTTAACTTAAAATTTGGATTACTTAGCAAACAATACAAACATGATTTATAATCTATTCTGTTTGCCAGTTAGCAACTAAAAATGCAAGTTACCACAAACAGGCAGAATCAAACTCAAAGAGACTTGAAAAAAAAAAACTACTAAGAATACAACTACACAGCTTGCAAGATTTTCACATTCAATGGATCGAGTCTTTAATCAAACAGAAAGAATTAGCAAATCACAACATTCATGGCAGATTAGGATTTATATAATTAATAATGTCAGTATTTACCTATATTTACGTGTATATCATCATCAACCTTCACATAGAATTCAGCGTCCCACAGATTGACAGCAGTGGCAAAATATGACTTTGTCTTTCCCGACAACTCCAGATATCCTTCATTATGATCCTGCGGACCACTATGAAGTGTAATCAACACGACTAGAATTAATGTGACAGAAAACTTATCGACCGTTATATTTCTAGCCAATGAAAACCACCCAAATTGACAATCAAGAAGCAATTTGTATGAAAGATGAAATGATAAGTATCTACCAATCTTAGGAAATCCTCATGTTTCCTTTCTTCAGCTTCAATAGCTTTGTTCAGAATACCACCAGATGTTGCACTGTTTTAGTTACAAGAATAACAGTCAGACATCAGAGAATTGAAAAGGACTACATCTTTACTAAGGTGTCATCTAGTCCAATTATATATGTGCTTATATATAGACAAGGAAAGAGAATAATAAATAAAAATATAATAAATGGCAATATCCTCAATAATGAAAAAATATTAAAATAATAAATAATGAAGATTCTTACTACAAATAATATAGGTCATTTGATAATTTATACACTCAACTACAAACTCAAGATCACATAGAAGACATCTACTTGACTTTGGAAATAATAGTGACTATAGAAAAGTAGAAATATAAAAAACTATTCTGAATTTTATTGCTTCATTCTCTATACATATTTGAGATGTTATGGGCTCCTCCAAGGATATTAGATATGAAAAAAGGTAAATACCATTTACACAAAATAAATAAATAATCAAAAGGAGTGCTAACGCCTAGGCGAAGAGAGAGCACATGAATTGCAGTACAAGGGTTAAGAGGGAGAGAAGATCCAATGGGTAAGCTCCTCAAGCTGTACGTTTCTTTGAGGTGCAATGTTTTGTTGGCAGCCAGCCAGTTAGCACAGAGACAGAGACTTGATTTAGCCTCCTGTTGTTCTTGCTAGAGTGTACACAGTTTTGCGGACCATTTCTGAGGCCAGCTCTTTGGAGGTATGAGATTCATTTTTGTCATGATAGTACATGTACGCCTGGGTTCACTTACACGTTCAGGGTGTTTTTTCCTGTCTAGAGACTCCAACATACTTCTTACAGAGAGGGTACCTCATAGTTCTTCAGCTTTTCCAGGCGTCTTCCACTTTTGAGTTAGAGAGAATCCGCCTCTTTTTCTTCGCCCCACAGCTAGTTACAGATTGATTTTCCCTAATACACCAGCCAAATGTTGTCGGTTTACCACCTCACCAGAGAGGTACTGTTGTTGTGGATGGGGTCGATCACAGAGGGATGCGTACTTTATTATAGAAGAATTTTTTAGTTGCTAAGTACTTTATCAGCATGCGTCCGGGCTGGTTGTGCTACAGGGCAGGCACTGTAGTGACTTTGAAGGGCTACCAGCCCAACAGGGTAGTTAGGCAGTTTGGATTCTCTCAGGCCACAGCTTACGACGGACGACCACCGGTCCTTGGGGTCCCAAACACACAACGCAGGGATACAATTCCACTAGAGACTCGCCTCTACATTGCAGCTCTTACTTGGTTACACTTACTGAGGCTCGGGACAATATCCAATTTTGTTTTGGCTCAGCCGTCTACTCAAACGAGCGTTAGTTACACATGGATGTCTTGGGTACGATAGTCTTTTGGTCCTGCCTTGGAGCACGGTGCGAGAAGGTACGAGCACCGAGTACGGGATTTCGGGTTATCGAGGGGACAGAGGTCCCATCGGGTCTTTTCAGAGGCTGCTGGTGATAAAGGTATATTTCCACCATTCTCCTCTTTTCTTTCTTGTCAGCATTTAATTTTGATAAATATTTAATTATTTTATGCATGTCTTCTTTTTTTTTTTATTATATGCAGGGACACGCACTGAGGCTTGTACCACTACTGGGGCCATTGTTCCTTCTCCTGCTCGAGTTCCGGATGTGGCACCTGCGCCACCTCAGGCTAAGTCTTTCCAGTCAACTCATCGGCAGGCCGGTTCCCAGCTTGCTACTTCTTCCAGGAGGTCCTTAGATGCACGCCCTTCTCCCAGGGACCTTGGGGAGAGTGCACAGGAGCCGAGGATGTCAGACTTCACGGGATACAGTACACCCGGACCCTTCTACGACTTCTCTTTTCCGGTGGACCCCTACGGGTCATTCTGTCCAGGCAAGTCTTCTAGTATCAATGCCACTTTACTTTCAGAGTTATTTGGAGGGCCTTTGTACACACTGTCAACTTTAAAACTGGTGCCTATGGAGTCCTCCCTCTTTTTTGAGAGCCACCCGACTGACTTTACGGGCCCTTCTTCTGTCCCTGCTAGTTACCCGGCCGACTTTGTGGGCCCTTCTACAGGTACATGTTTGTTATAAGTCAATTTATTTTAAATACATTATTATAATATTTCTCTCCATATTAATTGCTTATAATCCTTTGTGTAATGTCTGAGTGATGCAACTACACTTCGGAGATTCATTGTCACGTTCATGTACCTCTGACCCTCAGGACCACTGAGAGGTTCACCTACTTGGTACAGCTTCTGAGGGATTTAGCCTCCAGCATTGACCCAAGGTCTTGGCTCGAGTTTACTTCTTCTACCGACCAACTCCTTTGTGTACTTGCCAAATTTAGGGTAAGCACCACTGAGCTACTTTTTGGGAGGCAGTGTACCGCGATGCAGAGTCTTGTATCTGGCAACTGAGATGTCTCTTGATTACTCGGGCTACGGTTACACTTCTACAGTTAGAGGAGATAGTTGTTAGTCGCAAGGCGAGGGCTGACGACATCCACGACCGGCTGGACCATAGTGCAAAGGCTTTGAGGAGACACCGTTAGAGTTCTTCCGACATGGCTTAAGAGATAGATGGGCTGACAGGACGTGTGTAGGATCTCTGGAGGGACATCAGGAAGGTGGTGACTCAAGAGCTTAACGTACGAGAGAGACATGATAGACGAGACCGTCTCACTAGGAGGGAGGAGCAGCATCACCAGTCTTTACAGCAAAATCTACCTCCATCACTCCCTGCTGTAAAGGCCGGTGACATTGCTCCTCTTTCCTAGTGAGACCGCCTCGTCTATCATGTCTCTCCCGTATGTGAAGCATTCGGGACACCACCTACCTTATGTCCCTTCAGAGATCCTACACACGTGCTGTCAGTCCATCTATCTCCTGAGCTATGTCAGAAGAACTCTAACGGTGTCTCCTCAAAACCTTTGCACTATGATCCAGTCAATCGTGGACGTCGTCAGCCCTCGCCCTACGACTGGCAACTATCTCCTCTAACTGTAGAAGTGTAATCACGGCCCGAGTAATCGAGAGAGATCTCAGTCGCTAGATGCAACTCTGCCTCGCAGTACACTACCTCCAAAAAAAGTAGCTCAGTGGTGCTCACCTCAAATTTGACAAGTACACCAAGGAGATGGTAGGCAGAAGAAGTAAACTCGAGCCAAAACCCTGGAGACCTTAGGTTAACGTTGGAGACTAAATCCCTCAGGAGTTGTACCAAGTAGCTGCACTTCTCAGTGGTTCTGAGGGTCGGAGGTAGAGGAACGTGGCAGTGAATCTCCGAAGTATAGTCGCATCTCTCAGGCACTGCACAAAAGATTATAAGCAATTAATATGGAGATAAATATTATAATAATTCATTTAAATAAATTGACTTATAACAAACACGTACCTGTGCAAGGGCCCGCATAGTCGGTCAGGCAACTGGCATGAACGGAAGAAGGGCCCGCAAAGTCAGTTTGGTGGCTCTCAAAAAAGAGGGAGGACACCGTAGGCACTAGGTCTAAAGTTTGACAGTGTGTACAAAGGCCCTCCAAAGAACTCTTAAAATAAAGTGGCATTGGTACCAGAAGACTCGCCTGAACACAATGACCCGTAGGGGTCCATCGGAAAAGAGAAGTCGTAGAAGGGTCCTGATATACTGTACCCTGTGAAGTCTGACCTCCTTGACTCTTGTGCACTCTCCCCAAGGTCCCTGGGAGAAGGGAGAGCGTCTACGGACCTCCTAGAAGAAGTAGCACGCTAGAAACTGGCCTGCCGACAAGAGGACCCGGAAGACTCTGCCTGAGGTGGCGTAGGTGCCACATCCGAAACTCGAGCAGGAGAAGGAACAACGGCCCTAATAGTATTACAAGCCTTAGTGTTTGTCCCTACACGCAACAACAAAAAAAAGAAGACATGCATCAAACAATTAAATATTTATCAAATTTAAATGCTGATAAAAAAAAAAGAGAAGGGTGAAAAAGTATCTTTATCACCAGTAGCCTCTGAAAAAACCCGACGGGGCCTTTATCCCCTCGGTAACCCAAGCTCCCGTACTCGGCGCTCGTACCTCCTCGCACCATGCTCCAAGGCAAGACCAAAAGACTGTCATACTCAAGACAGCTGTGTGTAACTAATGCTCGTATGAGTAGACGGCTAAGTCAAAATAAAATTAGATCTTGTCCAGAGGCTCAGCAAGTGTAACCAAGAGCTGCAACGTAGAGGCGGGTCTCTAGTGGAACTGTGTTCATGCGTCGTGTGTTTGAGACCCCAGGGACAGGTGGTCGTCCGTCGTAAGTTGTGGCCTAAGAGAGTCTAAACTGCCTAGCCACCCTTTTGGGCCGGTAGCCCACCAAAGTCACTACAGTGCCTGCCCTGTAGCACAACCAACCTGAACGCATGTTGATAAAATACTCAGCAAATGAAAAATTTCTCTATAATAAAGTATGACTCCCTCTGTAGTCGACCCCATCTACAACAACAGTACCACTCTAGTGAGGTGGTAAACCGATAACATCTGGCTGGTGAACTAAGTAAAATCGATCTGTAACTAATTATGGGGCGAAGAAAAAGAGGAGGATCCTCTCTGACACAAAAGTGGAAGATGCTTAAGAAAATTGAAAAACTGTGGGGTACCCTCTCTGTAAGAAGTAAGCTGAAGTCTCTAGACAAGAAAAAGCAACCCGGACGTGTAAATAAACCAAGGCGTACAGGTACTACCATGGCAAAATTGAATCTCGTACCTCCAAAGAGCTGGCCTCAGAAATGGTCTGAAATACTCTGTACACTCTAGCAAGAACTGCAGAAGCTAGAGCAAGTCTCTGTCCCTATGCTAACTAGCTGACTGCCAATAAAACACTGCACCTCAAAGAGCCTGTCTGTAGTGGGAGTACGAAGGTGCCGAGCCAGAAAGCCAAGAAACCCATCAAAAGTAGACCCTCGTCGATCCCCGCCAAACCTAGGGAAGTGTAACCAGCTGAAGAAAAAGGCTCGGCGATCCAAGTGTCGAGTCCCGTGCCCACTCTAAAGGCGAAGACTGTAGCTGATGTTGGCTAAGCAAGCTAGATTGTTCAACTGGCTCAA